AAATATATATTAAATATTTTATAGAAATCTGAAGTATTTTATTTTTGGGATAACAGCCTGTTTCAGCATTGAGATTAAAAAAAGGATATTTGTGTAAAATGGACTAAATACTACTTCATAGGCTGGAATCGGCCGAAAATATTCGAACTCCCCGTATTATCCTAAACTCAGCGCATTCGCAGTATTGCAAAAATGCCAAAGACGAAGAAATCATGATCGAGCCAAAATTACGAACAAAGTGAAAACTGTGTTCGATCCAAAACCAGGCAATTCGATGGATCCCCAGGTTCAGCAAATTCAGCTCTGAATCTATACCGACTCATCTATTAGCTCTGAGGAATACGGAAAGTAAACAGAACAGTATTTGCTGATAGAACAATTCCAAGTTTCTAGCAACAAATTTTTTTGATTCCAGCGCTAAAAGTGCATTGTAATTGTAATTGAAATAAATTAAAGATTCCAGATACAATTGATCACTAGTAATTATTATTTGTGGACGATCATCATAAGACATTTGTTCTGCTTCCTGACGAAAATTATTTTCATGATCTAGCGCCTGGAATAAGAAATTCTCTGACGCGTGAAAAACAAAGTAATGATTATATCTTCCTCAATAATTATTGCTTATGAATAAAACGAAAATGACCGCAGCAGATGACAAATGAAATTAAGAAAAAGCTAATTTCGATGCATGTTCCTCACACTTAGTTCAGTTAGAATGTGTTCAAAATAGTCGATCATGTTGAATATTTCCAAGTATAGGAATAATACTGATTCGATAACTTTATTTAATTTTAGATCCAATATGAAATACTGTGAATTGCAGTCTTCGATACACATTTATGTAATTATGGTTCTACTCTGGTCCTGGAATGTTCCTGGCATGGGAAAAATTAAATCTGCAATCTAAAAAAATGTCTTCAAGTTAAAAGAAAATTTTTGGAAGAACGACATGTGCATATTTGAATACATTATTTCCCAAAGGACCAACCCCCGCGGGCTGTGAATAACCACAACCCTTTCCCAACGCGACGGGAATGCAAATGCCCTCCAGGGCACAAGCATCTAGACCACTAGTGTACGTTATGAACAGAGGAAACATTTAATCACCAGCTGGAAGAAAACCCGCGGCGATTTAGAAAATTTCGTTCGTCCTCTAGAGTCTAGAGAGAGAGACACACATGAAAGTACTTTCAGTTAATTCCAACTTGGCTCCAAGGCACAAACTTTGTCACGTCTGAATGAATCGAGCTGTTTTTGAACCGAACCTTAGATCTTACTTTTTTGATTTACTTCACAGAGATTTGCATCAAAATTTTCAAAAAAAATCGGAAATGACCAAAGACGTTTTGTGACACGCCAGAAGGACGTAGATTCAAAATTCAAGCATAAATGACCAAGTGAAAGCTGGCAGAATTGATTGAAATTAAACTTAGCTGGCGACAGAAAAATACGTACTTCTTTTTATTTTGNACTCCGCAGTATCCAACAGTGGGAATATAAATATGTATGCTTCAAAAAATATCTATTCGTATTCGTGAAATTTCCGGTAATCAGTGAACTTTTAAAGACATCAACTATAGAAGATGCCTCCGAAGCAGCCGAAACACAAGACCAAGTTCAACGCGGTAGATTTGGTATCGCATTACAAAAATATGGTGACTTCTGATGAAAAGCTGAGCATGAGTGAGAACGCAGCCATGTTTGAAGAATACTGCCGGTGAGCATGAAAGCAAAAGTGATTTTCGTGCATTAAACAGAAAGTTAATTTGTTTTTTCCTCCCTGCATTTCAAAAAGGTTCATCGAAGACGAATACGGCCTCGTTGGCAAGATCGTGACGCATCGAGTGAGAAAAGATACTGCGTTTTACTTGGAAGCACTCGAAAGGTATGGAAAGACAAAAGAAGACGAACAAACCGCTGAAAATTTACTGACGTTGACGTCTGAGAACAAGAACGACGCCAAGTTTCACACCGAACTTTGCCATCGCCTCGCCGTCTTACTATCCTTCTTCTGTGAGTTGTTCTCGATCATCTGTAAGAGCATTACTTTCCTCTCTGCAGTGAAGGATCAGGGATCAATGATCAAATACCCGGGAATAAATGGGATCAACGATCACCCTGATCATTGTGACCTTAATAAGTACCACCGATCCGTTCAGAGTAGTTCATAAGAGGATTGAATATGGCTGAACTTTTGATCCTTTCCTAGAAAAATTGCAACAAGGTTGAAAAACACGGAAAAAGGACGCTGATGTGGGTATTGTAATGCATCATATTTTGAAGTTGAAACTCACATTTGCAATCCCATAACTTTTAAAGCTCCAATACTTATTCAATAATTGCCTCAAATTAGTTTTCGTGGCAGTTCACCGAAGAGTGTTTTACTGAGATTACTGTACCATGAATCAATATATCCCACTTGTGTTTGAAATGTTTCAGGAATTTGAAGTAGATCTTGCTAGAGTATTAAATTTTACCAAACCTGCTTTTAATATGATCAGCTGAATACGATATAAACTTGATTTTCCCCCGTTTGATTTGCTTCTGGTTTTGAATGAAGAGACATTTTTCTGTGAAGTTCGAGCCAAAATTAATTGATTAAATGATTACAAAATTTATTTTAAGTGACTGTAAAATATGCAAGTAATATCAATACATGAATGAGCAACTGAAGGCTGGCGGAGTTGAAAAGCAGAACTGCTGCTTTTTGAGAACAATTCAACTTCATTTGAGAATTACTTTGTATCTTTTTTACACAGAAGAATATAAGATCATAGATTGGCCTCAATCTTTAATATCAAACCACTGCGGAACAATATAAAATCCTTGGAAATTTCCTATGAATAATTTCGGCAACAAAAATATTTGTGTATGCTTCAGGATTCAATCGAAGTTTCCGCGTTGATTTGTAAGTTGAACACGTTTTCTGAATCACTTTTGATGAGCTCTGTTTGAAGTCAGTCGCATGTTTGCGATTTCTCTGCTCAGTTCTTGACATTTTCACGTACACTGAGAACCCCACGTGCGGACACCTCGACATGGGGACAATTCAACATAGGGACATTCATTTTTTAATAATAAAAAAAGCATAAAAATGCCCAAAATAGGTACACTGACTCGCCATGAGGACATTGCATGATAAAATTGCCAATACATTTTAGGAAATTTGACTTTTATTAGGCATAATTGCAAGAAACAGATATTTCCATCCCTAAAATCTATGCCAGACAAATTATTTGGTACTTTTCCCATCACTTTCTCATCCATTCAGCAAATTAAAAAAAATTACCTGTAGCACAGAGGGACTCCTTCTCTTTTTGTGACTTGGATGTTATTTTTTACAAATGCCAATATTTCGATGAACTGTACAGTGGTATACTATTCAATGTGCCAAATGTTCTTATTGGGTTGAAAATATACTCACTGAATCAAATTCAAGAGGCGAACACAATTTTTTTCATGGAATTCTGAAGAATAATTCTTCCATAAAACGCCAATTAAAATTTATATACTGTAAGTCTATGGGATAAACAGACTTGACTTGGAGACATTTTGACTTAAGGGCATTCTTGATGCACCAATTATGTCTGCATTTCAGGGCCTCACTGTAATCTATCAAACATGGACCATT